TGATGTAGAAATTCTTGTAAATTTTGGTTGTTAAATTGCTATTGCTGATGAAATTATTTAAGGAATGGGTTGCAAGCCGCAACGAAAATTGAAACGTAATGAATTAAAATAGTGGAATAAGGACGGATTATGATATTGACAGATTATAATATGGTGAGATCGGGTTGCGTGCCACAACGGATTGTGTTTGTTATGTTTGTTTGTGACTTAAGAATTTGCCTCGGTATGTTGAGATGGGATTATGAGACTTGTTGTTCTGGGATCTCTGGTAATTGGATTTCGAGTTTGTTTTTGTAAGTTAACTGCTTTATTTTCATTTCCTGCTTTTCCTGTTATTATAGTTATTACCTACAAGTTGTTATAAGTGACCCGCCTTCGCCTAGTCACTACTTCGTCGAGTTTAGGCTTGGCACTTACAGAGTACATGGGGTCAGTTATACTCATACTTTAATCTCCACTTCTTGTGCAGATATCAGAGTTTGTCCTAGTAGCGCTGAGTGATATTTGCTCGGATCAAGCTATCAGTGGAGACTTGAGGTATAGTTGCATGGTGTTCGCAGCCCTAAAGCCCCCTTATGTATCATCTTGGCTGCTTATTTTGATTCAGACAACTATGTTTTTATTCAGACTATTATTTTTAATACTCTAGACGCTCATGTGTTCGTGATATCAGTTCTGGGATTGTATTTGGATTACGTCGTTTATTAGTTATCACCTTATTTCGGACTATTCAACTTTATTGTAGTCATTTGATTTAAATTGTTATAAATGGTTAATAAGTATAACTAATGTTGGCTTGCCTTGAAAATGAAATGTTAGGCTCCATCACGGTCCCGAGGATGGGAATTCCGGGTCGTGACATCATGACCATGATTTTTGCCGTCTATATCTTTACTTCTACTCATCACTTTACCTCTTTACTTTCGAAGTTTTAACTTTCATAAACTCTTCATCTCCTCTGCATTTACTCTGCATTTTCTTAGAAAGTTTTCCACCTTTCTCAATGCGCTTAGTAAAAAGTATCACTGATATCTTATTACCATGACTTTTTTCACTCCCTCTTTTGGAAACTTTGGTCATCTTTTCGGTGAGGCCCGAAGAGAAACAAAGACAAAGAAGATGATGTTGATTCTAAGCCTCCTACTGTAAGCACCATTATACCCAAACACTAAGTACCGCTAACGACTTTGAAGAGACGTCCCCTGTTGCGTCTTCATGTACTTTGGCTGTTAGTAGGTATCACCCCTCCATTCGCCCTTCTAGTATCCCTGTAGTGAAGGAGGAGTGCAACTGCCCTAATCTCAACATCCTCGCTCCGGATTTGATAGATCGAGTTACCTTCACCTAGGAGGGTTTTACATATTCTTATATGTATCATTTTACCTTGGGTCCATTTTCCTTGGGGTCGAGCGAAGGGCTCGACCCCGTAATTTTGGAGTTTTTCCACTGGTATCAGGTTTGCTTGGCACAAGTAGGCCCGTGTTTATGGAGAACGGTGTCTTGTCTATGCTAATTATACAGGGAGACCGGGGAAATCCTAACTCTTGTACACTTGATGAATCTCTACCCACCCCCCACCCTCCCAAATATTCCGTGGGGGAGTAATAAATTTCAGCAAACGTGGCCACCACGCTATTCTCACCAGTGTGGATAATGACAATGATTGTGTCTCTGTGTGTGTGTGTGTGTGGGGTATTCTATTGCCTTCGAAGGCTTTGCATTGTCCCGGATACGACCATAATTATTCTTGGCTCGACCGCTTAAGAACTCTCTAAGATGTCCATTCTTCAATAGTATCACCGCTTCTTCATGTAAATGCCGGCAATCCCCAGTTCTATGGCCGTGAGTCCCATGATATTCGCATCATCAGTTGGGATCCCTGTGGCTGGGATCAGACCTGATTGGCTTTGGGAACTAAGCTTCTTTGATATTCCTTATCTCTGATACCAACTCTATTATGCTGATAATGAAGTTGTAATCCGACAACCTGGGATATGTGGAATCCCGGGCTCCCGATATCTTTTTTTCTTATAGCGACCTACTGTTCCGACCATAGTCGGTTCTTCTATCGGGAACGAACTTGTTCGACGACCGGAACCCTTTACTGCCACATCCTTCGATTCTTTCATATGGTAAGAAACGACCATTTGAAGATCACCGATCTGAATCGAAGTCATCTTTAAACTTATCTTGATTCTTCTCTCGGTCTCGTCCCTTGGTTGACGTCGGGAACCCAAGATGATTGTCTTCTATCCTTATTTTTGAATTGTAATGATTACACAAGTCCACCCATGTGGTTGCTTGGAATTCAAGTAGGCTTTCCTTCAATATTTGGGAGGCATCAGAGCTCCGTGGATTCAAGCCCTTTGTGAATGCCCCCGCTGCCCATTTGTCTGGTACAACCGGTAGCAACATCCTCTCTTTCTGGACCCTGTTCATGAATTCCCGCAACAATTCGAACTCACCTTGCGCGATCCTAAATATGTCCGCCTTCCTAGCGTGGACCTTCCTGGCCCCGACATGGGCCTTGATGAACTAATCTGCAAGCATTTCAAAAGATTCAATTGAGTGCTCGGGTAAGAGTGAATACCATATCAAATCCTCCTTTGTGAGGGTTTCACCAAACTTCTTCAGTAGGACCGATTCGATCTCATGTTGAGCCAAATCGTTCCCTTTCACAACCGTGGTCTAGGTTGTGGTATTATCCTGTGGATCCGAAGTCCCATCATATTTTGGTATGTCTGGCAACTTGAACCTCTTCGGAATCAACTCTAGTGTTGCATTGGGTTTAAATGGTAACTGCGTGTATTTTTCGAATATGGGCGTTTTAATATTGGCGGTGTGCCCGAAATCTGATTCATTTGGACGTGAAACTCCTTTGCATTCTGATACTTTCGTTCGTTCATTTCCATCATAAACCTCGTAAACTCGGTTTTGAAAAGATCATTCCCGTTGTTGTTATTTCCTGGTCCACTACCAGTCCCTCCGGCTTCGTCGAAACCGTCCTCGCCTCTTAGGGTGTTGTTATCGACTATCTGAGTCGTTTGATTTGCAGGAACACTGGGAGGAACTAAGCCTCTTCCCGTTGCATTATTGGAAGCGTCTGACAACACTTGCTTCAACTCCGTCATCACCTGATCCTACCTTGAGAGGTGGCCCATGATGACTTTCTGTTGCACTCTTAGGATTTTTATTGTTTTCGCAACGTGTTCCTCCTTTGCGTCATCGAGGGTTGTCTCCCATACGTGTCGGGGGTACTGCCCTTCACGAATCGTGGTTGCTTCATTCCCTTTGTTTCAGGTGTCACTGACTGAATCTTCGTGTTGAGGTAAATCTTCGTGTCCCTCAAACAAGCTGATTGAATCTTCATGCCGTATGTGATGTTGACATCATTAGCTGCCATTTTTGATTCCTTGCTAAGGAAAAAATCAAACAAGTTAGTAATAAACGTAGAGATCAAAGCAATCGCGCAACTGTCTAAGCCCCAAGGTGGGCGCCAAACTATTTACCTATAAAATAATATAGTTAAATTTGTTATGTGGTTTATAAGCGAACTGATCTGACCAAAAATAATAAAGAAATATGATTAAAAATAAGACCTAGCAATTGAAATTTAAGAAGACGACAAGCTTGGCTCCGAGCGCAATGTCTCTGAGTACAAAATGAAAGCAATATAAAAGAATAAATTAAGTTGTTTAACTCAGAGCGAAAATGTAATACAGCATATGTTATGCCAAGATTTTTCCTCCTTTACTATGGCTGTTGAGTTTGCTATTTATAGCTATGTTTAGGAAAATAAGATCCTTGGATCAAGTCTCACTTAAATGATAATAAAGAGGGCATTGATGAATATGTAACGGCAGGCCATAAATTTAATTATTCCCCGCAACAATCTCTCATTTAATACAACAGAATATGCCTTGATTGAATGCTTTCCGATGGCACATATCCACTCTGCTCCCATTGATTATATTCTCTTTGGGATTTCCCCAACCTCAATAAAAGTTATCATGATCAGTACTGATTGTTACTTGACATCTCTTTCGTTTGCCTTCGGCTCTACATGTCGTGCTATCATTCGTCCATTTATTATAAATCGATTTTACCCCATACAAGAGCACACTTTTAGTTGATTAATTAATTGTCTATTCAACATGCTCCTACATGTGCGGGCTTTATTTTTGCCATTGGTCAAGCACGTGGAAATTCAATTCTTCTAAAGAGTGGCGGTGAGACTTAAACTCAATACCTTTGTTTGCTCTAATACTATATTGAACTGTGTGACCATCTCATCTAAAAGCTTAAGTTGTTAGAAAAAAATACACTTTTATTTATTTAATTGCCTCTTCCACATATACTGCTTACAAAAAAAGTTGCACACGCCAGTACAAATGCTATTTCAAAAGTTTTAATGATGTAAGGGTTTGACAATTTTGCAATTACATTGTTGAGTTTGAACTGTTACGCATGGTTTGAGCGCTCTATTAGCGTGAGAAACTTTCTTTACAATGAAAGTGTCACAAGTTGAAGTGCTCAAGTCAAAAAGCTTAATGGGCACTTTAATTGTAAATTAAGAAAATTAAATTGGTGTAATTTAGCTGCTCATTTCATTTATAACTTGTTATTGACGGAAAGTACAAAAAAAGTTTGCAAGCGTAATTTACCTTATTGTAACAGGTTACATACTTTATCTTTTAGTTGCACTTATTATAGATAATGTATCCGTAATTATCTTTTAGATGATTTATAATATAAATATTTTTATACACGATCGGTGTATAGAAGTTGAATCTAAATACCAAAATATACAGATTTAAATTTAAGTCTTAAGTTAACGAAGAAAAAGACTACATTAAGTTTGAAGTCAGCTCAGCACATGTGAGGTTTTCAAACAAGGGAAACTTGACAAGATTTTCAGGAAAACCATGTGCATTTGAATATGAGAAAAATAGATCCGGCATTAATGGGTCTGACCATTGCTATAATTAACTTAGTAATGTTAACTTGAAATCAAAATGATGAAAGAACCAAACCTAAAGCTCTTCCAATGGGTTTGAAGTACAACCATTATTCCACCAAATCCATTGCTTCTAATAAGTTTCTTTCTTTAAGAACTTCAACTATTCTCACAACAACTCTCTTCATTGCTTCTCTTGTCTACTTATTTTCCCCTTCAAGAAATTCACAAGAGCCACACTTGTTGGACCATCAGGGAGGTCTATTTCGTGGCGATTTACGTGACGCAAAATTTCCATGGAATAAGCTTTCATTTGGACCAAATTCTGAGAAACTAAAATTAGCAGTTTTTTCAAAAACATGGCCAATTGGAGCAGATCCTGGAGGCATGGAACGACACGCGTTTACGTTATACACTGCCCTTGCTGCCAGAGGACATGATATTCATATTTTCACTGTGCCATCTGATAGGAAATTTCATAAAGATATTCATGTTGGTAACCTTCATGTCTATTTTGCAGCTAATAATCATGGCTCACTCAATTGTTCTTTAGCTTTTGATATATTTGATCAAGAAAATAGGGCTAGACCTTTTGATTATGTGCACACTGAGAGTGTGACATTGCCTCATTGGCGCGCGAGATTTGTGCCTAATGTGGCAGTGACATGGCATGGAATTTGGTACGAGATTATGCACTCAAAGCTATATCAAGAACTGTTTGAAAACCACAATGGGCAATTATCATCAGGGCCTATGACTGAACTTCAAGAAGCAATGCCAAAACTTGTCGATGAAATTAAGTTCTTTTCGAGCTATACTCATCATATATGCATAAGCAATAGTGCAGGGGAAGTTCTAGTAAACATTTATCAACTCCCTCAAAGATATGTACATGTTATACTCAATGGAATTGATGAGACTAAGTTTGTACATGACCCTATATCCGGATCAGATTTTCGCCAAAAAATTGGGATCCCATCAAATATTAGCTTGGTTTTAGGAGTTGCTGGAAGATTGGTAAGGGACAAGGGACACCCACTTCTCCATGAGGCGTTTTCGTTCATAGCCAAGCGCCATCCGGGAGTTTTTCTGATAGTGGCAGGGTCAGGTCCGTGGGGAAAAAGGTACGCGGAATTAGGTCAAAATGTGAAGGTTTTAGGTGCATTAGAGCCCTCCGAACTATCAAAATTTTACAATTCACTTGATGTGTTTGTGAACCCAACTTTGAGGCCTCAGGGACTAGATCTTACATTAATAGAAGCTATGCATTGTGGAAAACCAGTTTTGACACCAAACTACCCAAGTATAACAAGAACTGTGGTGTTAAATGAAGATTTTGGTTACACATTTTCACCAAATGTAGGCTCATTTATAGAAGCATTGGAGTCTGCAATTAAAGATGGTACAGCAGTTTTGCAAAAGAAAGGAATGCTTTGCAAGTCATATGCACTTTCAATGTTCACAGCTAGCAAAATGGCATTGGCTTATGAGAGGTTCTTTCTTTGTATGAAAAACACTAGATATTGTCAATACCCTCTTCCCACAGATTTCTAAAGATTTTTTGATTAATGTTATATTGATATCTTATTACACTCATATTGGAGAGTCTGGACTGGCGTTTGACCAATTTATTGGAATGCTACATTTTTCTCGTGTACGAGGTAAATTAAGAAACTAAACTTTATTGGAAGTTACATTTTTCTTGTGTACGAGGTAAATTAAGAAACTAACTCCTCGCTATTGAATTTCAAAACTGGTAATCTATACATCATAGAGAACCATTATTGCTTGTGACATGAGCTTTTCAAATCTTTAAGAGTTAAAGTCACTATAATTATAAGGACAACAACATGTTAAGTTTTAACTAATTAATTAGTGAAATCCAGTAATCATTTAATTGGCCAAATGGTTTTTATCCACTGAACTAATACTCCACAATTAGAAAAGAAATACATTTTAAGATAGGAAAAGCTAGGTGTAAGTTGCACTTGATACCCTTTAGGGGCCTAGCTACCAATCCAATTCTAAAGAAAGTTTGCTTTTTGACAAATACTTTCAATAGAATTATGCTGGAAATTTGGTCGTTAGCTGAATCTTTTGTGTTTTTTTTTTAATCCTTTTCTGATAAAGAAACTTATTAAAGTTTGAGAGTAGGCTGGGGCCGTTATTCTTCTAATCATTTGCTTTATCTGAAAATTGGCAACAAGTTCCAACTATCTTGAGGGAACCACAAGAGGAAGTCAACAACTAGACAATTCGACTTTAAAGGGAATCTACTACTAGACGATCGACTTTAGAGGGAATGTGTTACTAGACGGTTCGATTAGTTTTTCATTTTTGCATCCATGTTAGACGAATGATTTGCACGTCAGTATGGTTGTAGGCCTCCACCAGAGTTTCTCTCTGGTTCATCATCTTTTGTGTTCCCACATGTATGTTCACACTGGAACCCTTAACAAAAGATCAAGATCGGTGGTCGCAGTGCACCCCTTAGGGGATCCCACCATTCAGCTCCCTTGCGCCTTATATGCATGTCATTTACTCACTCGTTGACTTGCAAACATGTCAGATTCCTTGATCCTTATTTCAAGAAGGATCGAATGGAGAGTCCACAGACATCACAAATATCTTTTTATATTTTTGGATAAGAAAATAAGATTTAGATGGAGAAACCACATGGATGCATGTAAACTCCACAAATTCTTATACAACCTCAAGAAACCTTCCCGAGTGTGGTTTAGTAGTCACTTCGATTTTTTGTTCTTAGCTGTGATCTTGTAAGGACTCGATTAGATCATTCAGTGTTCTCAGACATTGTTATGAAAAACATGTACTCCTAGTCATGCATGTAGATGATATCATCATGATAGAAATTAGGAGTCCAACAAATAGTATATGGAACTAGGTTCTCTATCTGTTCCCACAATAAATAAGCGAAAAGTAAAAGACACACGATATTTATATAGAAAACTCCTTGCTCAAGGGATTAAAAACCATGACCTACCCTAATAGGAATTTAACTCCACTAAACCGAGAAAACATCAGATTACAACCTATTGTAATGTAGGAATTAAACTCTTAATCCTTCACCCCTTACAATAATTATATTGTAAACCCTTTGCAATAACTCTATTATAAAGCAACAAACATTGACTAAATCTAGTCAAGAAACCAAACCAACAATTGTTGAAATCTATCCTACAAAGACACTTCTTGAAAGTAGCGTAGGATTACAAGTGAAGAACAAAATAACAAAGACTCAACAAACATAAGAATTTAAGATATCTTCAATCTCTGGATCTGGTCCTTGAGGTTGTATCAGCTTTGTTCTTGAGAGAGCCTTGAAGGCAGTGGTGGCTAGCACTTAAGAGAATATGATTTTTAGATTTGCAAGTGTTAGGTCAAAACCTTGTATCATGTTGTTTATATATGAGTGAACATGTGAGAAAAGATAAGGTCTTTTAGTTTGGCCTTAGCTAACTATAGTTGTGTTGCTATACTGCTGCCAGTTTGTCACGACCCGAAATTCAACCTGTCGTGATGGCGCCTATCATGATACTAGGCAAGCCGACGACTCATACATACCAACACTTTCAAATTTAAAATATACTAAAACATGTTTAAATAAGTGACAATCTCATAAAAACTAGATAAAACTGTCACAACTCGATACAAAAGTTTTCCAAACCAGGGTGTCACTGAGTACATGAGCATCTATACAAAAAAAAAACAAAGTCTGATACGCTGTCTAAGAAAGCCTAAACTGAATAAGTAAAACTGAGGGATAGGGGAAGAGGGTCTAGGTCTACGGACGCCATGGCATCTACCTCGAAAATCTCCGAATGACTGAGAACACTGAGAATCAGCAACCACTGTGTCTGGAAATACCTGGATCTATACACGAAGTGCAGGGTGTAGCATGAGTACCACCAACTCAATAAGTAACAAATCTAACCTTTGGACTGAAAGTAGTGACGAGCTTGAACATTACATCACACATACAGAATTAACAGTACGGAAATTTATGGAAAATATGATAGTAATATCTCAGAAATTCATAATCTGTAGGTAACGATACAAGAATTTAGACATGCTTCGAGGTTTATCATTTAAACTCAGAACAAATAAAATATGTCAAGTCTGAATGATATGAGGAATATGACATATCTATATCTACATGCCAATATGCATATCGTATGTGATGCAACACAATGAAAGCCTCGCGTACTCGCACTCTCGAAGTACTCAATCTGACTGTCTCAATTTTCACTCATCACACTCAATCACTCAGCACTGGACATGGCAGATCCAACCCTAATACTAATAAATCAAGGGCAGATCCAGCCCAATACAAATAAATCCAGGGCAGATCCAACCCATGCAAGTGAATCAATAGCAACTGCGCACACTGTGGGTGTGTAGACTCCGGAGGGGAAGATCCAGCCCAAGCGCTATATTAAGCCAAATCCTGGCATGAATCAATAAAGTCTGTTGCGGCGTGCAACCCGATACCATAAATGTCACTCACAAATAGGCCATCGGCCTCACTCAATCATCAATCTCTCTAGTCTCTCAGGCTCACAGCACTAATGCTAAGCAGCCCAAATCAATGATAAAAGATGTTATAATATACGGTAACAGAGACTGAGATATGATATGCAATGATGAATGCGACTGAGTACATAACAACAATTAAGAAAATAACTCAACAACAAAGATCGACCACCGTGTGTCCTAATAGTACCAACACATAGCCAAAATATGATTTCTAGAATAAATCATAGCTTAAGTGCCCTACACATAGAGCACAATAATAATATTCAGATGATATAGCCACACAATTTTATGGAATCGACTAAATCACAATTTCTACGGTGCACGACCACACGCCCGTCACCTAGCATATGCGTCACCTCAACACCAATCACATAACACTTAACTCGACATTTCATACCCTCAGAACTAAGTTTAGAAGTGTTACTTACCTCAAGACGTGCAAAACTATACTCCAACAAGCCCTTGCCTCGCGAATCGGCCTCTGAATACCTCAAATCTAACCACAAACAATTCGATACGATCAGCTCAAGCAATAGGAATCAATTCCATATGATAATACTAAGTTCTTAATCAAAATTCAAAAGTCAAATCAAAAGTCGACCCCCGGGCCCACGTTTCGGAATCCAATAAAAGTTACAAAATTCGAAAGCCCATTCGACCATGAGTCTAACCATACCAAATTTACCAAATTTCGTCACTAAAGTTTCACTCAAATTCTCTAATTAAACTCTCCAAATCCCTAGACTCAAACTCCCAAAATTCCACCTCAAAAACATAGAAACTAGGTGGGAAATTCAATAGGGAAACAAAATTATTGAATAAAAATGATCACAAGTGACTTACCCCAAGAAACCCTTCGAAATCCATCTAAAAAAACTCCTTAGTTCGAGTTTGCAAAGTCCAAAGTGAGAAAAATCACGAAACCCTCGAATTAAATATTCTGCCTAGAGGTTCCGCTTCGGCGACACCGCTTTTGTGGTCAACAATCCTCTTCTGCAGAAAAACACTCAACTCCCGACCTGTCGCTTCTGTGGCCAAAGGCTCGCACTTGCGGCCCCGCATCCGCATCTGTGCGACCAGAGCCAATTTCAAAATTCCGCACCTATCACCACCATTCTGCTTCTGCGAACTCGCAGATGCGCTCCTCCCTCCGCACCTGCGATACTCCCTTAGCAAAACCAACCTCGCTTCTGGGCCACTACAGCCGCACCTGTGATCAATCCCCTCGTAGGTGCGATCATACGAGAAGGTCCACAACTTCTACAACGTTTCAAGTTCCATTTTTTATTCGTTAACCATACCAAACCAACCCGAGGCCTCCGGGACCTCAACCAAACATACCAACAAGTACTAAAACACGATACAAACTATGTCGAGGCCTCAAATCACATCAAATAACATCAAAAATACGAATCGCACCCCAATTCAAGCTTAATAAAAATTAAGAAATTCCAACTTCTACAATTGATGCCGAAACCTATCAAATCAAGTCCGATTGACCTCAAATTTTGCACAGAAGTCATAAATGACATAACGGACCTACTCCAACTCCCGGAACCAAAATCCAAGTTCGGTAACCACAAAGTCAACTTTTGGTCAAACTTCTCAATTTTCAAACTTCTAAGTTTCCAAATTTCGCCATTTCAATCCTAAATCAAGTACGGACATCACTATCCGGACACACTCCTAAGTCTAAAATCACCCAACGGAGCTATCAGAACCATCAAAACTCTATTCCAGATCCATTTACACATAAGTTAACATCCGGTCAACCTTTTCAACTTAAGCTTTCAAACCTTGAGACTAAGTGTGTCAGCTCATTCCGAAATATCCCCGAAACCGAACCAACTACCCCAGCAAGACACATAGTAACAATTAAGCATAAAATAAGCAGTAAATGGGGGAGTGGGGCTACAACACTCAAAACGACCAGCCGAGTCATTACATCCTCCCCCTCTTAAACAAACGTTTGTTATCGATCGAGTTTGGAAACATACCTGGAATCTTAAATAGGTACGGATATCTGCTCCGCATCTCCTGCTCGGTCTCTGAAGTAGCCTCCGCAACTGG